TCTTTCCCCTGAGCTTTCTGCTATTGCTCCCTTGTTCTTAGTAAGACAGCAACAGGTTAATACTGCAGAGAAGAAAAAGCAAACCTTTTAAGTTCCCAAACAGATTCTTAAAAATTTAGAGTCAACAGCTTGCAGGAGCCTCAGCCTTTTGAGTACCAAAATGCAAAGTTTACACCAAAAACAATACAGAATAATGCAAGAGTCAGTTCCACTGTCCCCAAGAAAGAAGCGTTCAACTGGATGCAGTAGAGGAGGACGATGGGGAGACAGGCTGAGGGAGAAGACAGCTGAGAGGGAAGGGGTACCTTGCCCTGAATTCTATAATAGTATTGAGTTCTTGGGTGGGGACGTGGCTTTGGAGCTTTGGGGACAGAAGGTATCCCACTTTCTGCCTCCTTTGAAAGGTAGCCATCCTTGCAAACCAATTGCCCACCTTCTCCAACCTCCGCTGCCCTCATCCCCCCATTCTTGAGCACGGTGAGGAAGCAATACAGACCAACTTGGTTGGCAAAGTCTGAATTTCCTACAGCACCAAAGCTATAGGGAGTTCATCCACAAGTTTTCCCAGCCTAGACAGAGGTGTGGCAGGGGCTAGCTCAGAAGCAGCAGTGAGTTAGTTACTGAGGACCAGAGCCAGCTGGGAATGCGGACATCTCAGAGATGCCGGCAGCAGATGCAGAGGATGGGAGGCCGGTGGGGATGATGGCATTTCAGCCAATGCCAGCATGGACAGAGGTCCACTGAGAACCACATGCCTTCTTCTCATTGATACTGGGGCACAATGAGACCATCTCCACAACGCCCAAACTTAGACACAACCCAGGACAGAAGGGGGGTGCCTGAAATAATCAAGAAAAGCCTGATTTATTCAAGTTCACCGTGAACTAAGTTACATTTATGCCACCAGGTAGAAAGTGAACTCAAGAGAAACTTAAACTTTATTCTTTTGCAGACATGAGTATGTGGACTAAGATTATACTTGCTACACAGGCAACTGTGATGCAGCATGACAAAGGCAGGTGGACCCTTGGGTGCTGTAGGAGGACAAGCGAGTGGTCTCCTAGCAGTCTGGGGAGGTCAGGGTGGGCGAGGGGCCACGTCTGAGCAGAGTATGGGAGGATAAAGGACAGCAGCAGTACAAAGGTGAAGGGAACCACAAATAAATTCACAATGGCAAGAGTGCAGGCAGCGAACAAAAGGAGGCTGCAAAGTTAAATGCAATGGATTGCTTAGGCCAAGCCAAAGACCACAAGCCCTTTCACTCAGAGGGCACAAAGATTCCTGTGGGACTGGAGAAGGGAAATGGCATGACTATGTCCTCATTTCAGAGCCAACAATCTGGGCACGTGTAAAGAAAGTCCTGGAGAGTGGCTAACTCTGGGAGACCCACACCTGCAGGCCGGGTTTCTCATTCTCCCCCCGTCTTATCTTTACTACCAATACCACATTGATTCTCATCACTCCAAAGTCTGCATTGTGTGAGAAAAAAGGAAGGCATTTCTTTCCAGATTTTATAAATTGGCATTTAGCTAAGAGTCCTGAAATGAGAAGTGAAAGGTACAGTTTAGTATCAAAATTGGTGAGGTTTTAATAGCCCAAGTCTTGATATCAGAAACTAGGACAAACTGATGTAATATGTAGCACACAGAAATGTCTCCCACACCCATATGTATACACATAATATGCCTTAATGTTACTAAGAGCTTTAAAAGAAACTGAGAAATGTGTATATTTTTACTTACACAATGTTTACTTAGAAATGCTGACTCGCACTGCCATGCACAGCCAGTTCTCTGACAGCAGTGGGGCGGTGGTTCCCTGGGCGGCCCAGTTCTGCAGGGTGGCTTTGTGAGTTGTTCCTGAAAGCTCTCCCTATTGTTTCTTCAGCCCCATCAAAGCCAATTGAATGTAGGCCATTCAATGCTTTATAATCAATCCCTTTCAGTTCCCAGAGTGGACTTTGCTTTCCATACAATGACCAAAACAGGTCAAATAAGTACTTTGAAAAAACCCACCAGGATCAAATATGCAGTGGTTAAGATCAAGTATTCTGAAGGCAGACTGCATGAGTTTGGATTCCAGCTGGACATCCCATTTACCAGCTACTTGACCTTACCCAAGTTACTTATTCTTTATGTGCTTTAGTTTCTTCATCAGCAAAATGGTGATGAAGGTGGTAAAGTGCAACCTCTGTGGAAAGCAATATGGAGATACCTCAAAGAGATACAAGTAGAACTACCGTTTGATCCAGCAATCCCATTACTGGGCATTTACCCAAAAAGAACAAAAGACACTATATAAAAAAGACA